GCTGGCGATGGCTATTAATCGCTATTGTTTACACTAACACGGTTTTTAAAAGAATGACAGCCAGTGGTGCTGCAACTCATGGCTCCTATTGCGCTTGGAGAGTAGTTACCCTTAAGTAGGAGCTTTAGAAAGCCTCTCAAACTGTATTAACGTTCTCAGCTCCTGCGGACACACAAAAGGGGGTACTTTTTCCAGTAGCTCTAGGAACTGTGAAAAAGTTCCTCCGGTCCGAAAGCACTTTCTCTCTCCTTCTCTTTTAGCCAGCGTGTGCATGCGTGTTTGTGTGAGTGCATGAGAAAGAAAAGTACCAAACAAGCATACCACACAGCCACAGACAGAGCATTCGTCTCAGCTATCCAAACAGATGTGTGGAAATGAAACAGAGGACAGAGAAAAATATAAAGCGGATCAACATTTATGTAACTCTTTATGAAAAGCTGTAATGATTTGAAACCTACTGAAATAGAAGCCTCTGTCTCCGCAGACAAACTGCAGCGCATCCACCAGTTCTCCCCCACACAGCGTCTCTGCAGAGGCCATTTCCACAACGTACAGCGTCACGGCCAGTGCAAACAGCAGCGAACGACTGGATGAAGACATCTTTTTGACCTGCAGACAGAAAGACACGTTACAGAATAAAGCACCAGATTGACAAATGCAACCATACATTTCAAGAGTGATGACAAACGATTTTTTAGCCTTTGATGACAGCCAGATGTTGCTCTTCGCTGATTGCATTCGCATTTATTCGTTTATGCAACATGTACAACTTCCAATGATACATTTTGTTTCTGTGTACTGACCCACTAACTCTGTTACAAATATCTGTTACATGAGGCAAGTGATGCTAAATGTGCAGCCCCCCACCCCCCACCCTTTCCCCGGTGTCACAGTGTCGCACCTGAGAGAAGTGCTTATTCTGGAGGAAAAAGCAGACAAGCATCTTTGGCTTTCACTCTCTTGCACAACTTTCCACAAGTTGCAAGACCGGCTGCTCGATAGTTAACTATCTGAAAAGCCAGACTCAGCATATATTTCCCCCTCGCTCACCCTAGTGCGCTCACTGACCCTCGGACCTGCCGTCCCCATCTGCCGGCATAAAGACCAGCTGTTTGCGCCTAGTACACCGAACAGCTCACCATCAACACAGAGAAAAGAAAACCTCAGCTCTTTCATTCCGTCCTATAATATAACCCGTGGCACACTATCTCTCCATGTAATGTAGCCTATGCATCTTGAACATAATCTGTTGCATGCAAATCAAGTGATGTCCAGTTGCGATTATTGCACAAGCATGATGAGACCAATGCATCAACTCAGCCCGAAGCGGTTTTCTCACTTACAAAGCCAAGTAAACATCGTTACAATCCTGCCAGAGCCTTTTCTATAACAGCAGGGGATATGCAGCTATGTGTGTTTACCTTCATTCTGCTGCTCTCCGTTCTCCGGCAGGTGTGGCAAAGTGAGTGGCGTCCGTGCCGTTGCTGGGTCTCCATGTCAGATGGCAGTAGTCAAAACGCTGGGGGGTTATTTGGTTGGAGATATTGTAGATAAGTTAGTTTCCCAGTTGGCAAGGTCAAAGAAATGATGTGTGAGAGGCTGTCCCAGAAACCAGGCGACAGGCAAAACTTCTCAGGGTGAGTATTATATACCAAAACCCGCCCCTTACACCCCCACCCCACCCCCTCGCTCCTCCTCTTCATGGCTGGCAAATGGAAAGGTGCTTAAAGGGAGCAAAAGCAACGAGAAAGAGAGAGAGGGAGACCGACAGTCACAAAATATGGAACGATTCCATAGGCATTTTCCACGTTTACACACCCTAACCTACAATCATAATGTTTACACACAGGACGCAGACTGAAGAACAATAATTCCTCAGACTCCAAGAAAAATATCAACGTCTCCGCCTTGCTGCAATTAAGACTGGAAGTAGAAAGGTTGGAATGGAATAGTAAGATTGGAATTGAAGCAGTGTTGCCAAGGTCTGTGGCTTTCCTCTGACCCTTACATATAGTCATGTATGTGTGTGTGTGTGTGTGTGAGACAATGGGGTCAATGCTAAAATTATCCCACCTGAAGGAAACAAAATTGGGGGACTGACAGTGCAGGAGGAGGAGGATGCAGCCTGACTCTCTGTGACTGATATTTACAGAAATACATGGTTTGAACCCCTTTTGTCACTAAAAATCAGCCTTGTATGATCATCAGAATGGATGATTAAGAGAAGAAAATAAAAAACAAGTACTTCATAAAAAACACCCAAGCCTTGCATCCCTCATGCAATGTGGATGAAAGATAAACATCATCCAGATGTTGCCTAGGCAGCTTTACAATAGAAAATATGGGCTGCATACATCCAGCTGGAAAATGTGATTATACATATAAACAAGCATGTTCACTTTGTTCTTAAGAAAAACGTATGCATGTTCCATTCTTTGTGTGGTTTGTACAGAAGCTCAGAAACGGGACATTTGTTCAGGCTCAGACTTACACCTAGTGGTCACGGCTGTGAAACGCAATTTCTTCTCTGTGTTGAACCGCTGGTCCAGGATCTGTTTCACAGCCTCCTGTCTGACCAGCGGGTGATATGTCTGGACAAGTTCCTAAAGTGTACTCTCTTAGATTGAATTTGGATTGTTTCATAGTTTCAACAATATCCATAGACAGTAATTCTCTCAGTTGTCCTAAATAACACACATAAGGTACTTCCATTTGGTGAAGGCGAGCTTGTACCACTAGCCTTGGTGTTTGTAACACTGGTTTTCTGCACTTATACTGTACCTGCTATACCTGATTTCATAGTCTGTATTTGTATAGTCATTTTCTTCCACTTTGTGTTTTTTGCCAGTCAAAATTTATATGCTTGTTTTTAACATCTAATAAATTTGCAAAACATCTAAGTGTATTTGAAGGTATGAGGTGAGCATTAAGAAAACGTTTGCTTTTAATAAGACCAAGATCAGGCAGGTACAACCTCATGTGGCAGATAAATGTCAACTATTAAATGGTGAGGACACAAATGAAGTATAAATGTACACACTAAAAATTCACTAAAATGTGATAAATCATATAACACAGCAAACTAATAATTTGTAGCTCTTTTTTATTTGACAGATGGTTTGTACTGAAGCAGAAATCACTTCAGCACACAGAAAATAAGTTGTAGGTTCTGATTGTTTTTATTATGCATTTGCAGAACAAGACAAAAACAGCATAATAAATACTCAAATTTAGAGGAAATACTTAAATATTGAATTGACATATCTGGAAAATAAAGCCTTTAACAACAGCAGCACACAGATATTTTTCTCTAAGTAAAATAAATGTGATGTAAATATACATTTTATTGTGCCACTCTGTTTCTTTGATTTGAAAATAATTATACCATAGCCATTTAGTTTTCTTGTAATACATTCATTACCACAGTTTCCTTTGATTTTGGCTTAGATTTTGAAATATTCCTCAAACAACACAGTTTTGCTTAAAAAAGCACAAATGGCCCACCTGGTAAAACCCTGTCATTTCACAAATGGATTCACACCCAGTGAGGCATTAAACATTTTTGGAAAGTTTTGCCTCTTCTGGGTTTTGAGGTTTTAATGCTTTTCAGCCTCATCAGCCAACCGGTTAGCAACAACAAGCATCGTAATGGAGTAACAGCACAGAAAAATGAACACATTGGGCTTGTTTACATGACGGAAATTACGAAGCACAGTAGAGAGGAAGGAAACACCAGTGGGACAGTCACAGGCTGAGGCATCATCATGACAAAACACTGAGGGCATCTGTCAGCAGCTTCAGCTCATCTTTCACTCCCTCCAGTCCTGCTTGGATCTTCAGCGGGTTGTCCAGGACCTCAACACTGCTGGTGTAGGGATCAAACCTCACAGAGAAGGGGCGCTTGATACCTGTCACATATGCCCTGACCAACATTATAAAGAAAGGTCAGAAAACAAAACCATGTAAAGCGTTCAAAGTCAAGGTTGTGTCTGAGCTCTGTATGAATATATTTACCATAGGTTGAAGCTGCCCTGTCTGAGAGTTGTAAACCCAAAATATTTCACTTGGCTACATGAAACTTCCCTTTCACAGTTGTAGTATAGCCTGCCCTATTGACATACAGACCTTATAGAGACTGTATCCTGCTCTGGTCAGCACTGCATAAAAATGCAATCCTGTGTAATGTTATTCATGATGTACTCTATTTAATATTGACTATGCTTTTACAAACACTCCCATGCTGATATTTCTCATCCAGTATAGCAAGGATGTTATGTGCTGTGTTCCAAATATTGTCAAAACACTCACTAAAGCTACTTGTTTTGCAGGCAACATTTGATGTGTTTGCCAAATAAAACTCCAGCGTTTTGCCTCGGTAAGAAAGACCACATTAGTAACAGCTGTCTTCTGGCTGTTACGGTTGACCTACAAAAGTTTGTGGCCTCAGGGGTAGGCTGGCTGTTCTCTGACCTTGTCCTTACATAACCCCTCTCCTTCTTGTTTTTGTCTTCTCTCTCTCTGTATGTTCTTGTGTATGAGTATGTCCCTACAAAAGAAAGTACCTGAATTTCTCCTTGGCGTCTGAAAAACTCTCAGAAATAAAGTAGACAGGCTGGTACGTCTGGTCTTGATAAGGCTGCACTGCAGCAGCCTCTGGATCAAACTCTCTCGTTTCTGGTTCATCAGACAGAGAGTGCTGGATTGAAGTTAAAAGAAAAGATGGAGAATTAGCTGACAGCTCAGCTGGCTGGAGTTGTTGGTTTTTTTCTATTATCCAGGCAATGATGAAAACATTAATCATAGATCAGAGAAATCATGCTGGCACGCACCACAAGCTCGCCATAAGAGGAGAGGAGTCCAGCGCCATAAGCCTTCACCTCACCGTTCTGTTTGCATAAGCCATACTCTACAGTGAACCAGTACAGCTGATGGAAAAAACAATGATTGAGAAGAAGATGGATCCTGGGGCGATCAGTTAGTTATTTTCTGTCACATTTTAAGCAAGTGACTGTACAAGGGACTCTGTTAGAAGGGAGAGTGGTCTGATAGTGTGGGAGAGCACTTTAGTTATTACTGTACTCCCATTTATATATTCTTTTTTTTCTCCAAACTGACTAGAAAACAAAAAACTGAATAGTCATATCAAAAGGGTTGTGTCTTTTTGTTTGCACAATGGAACAAAATGGTATGTTTTGAAGGCAACAGCCAAGTGTCTCTATCAGGGTTTTATTGTTTACTTCACTGCAATATCAATATGTCTTTCTTAGGCAAGGGGAGGATTAAAAGTAAATATTCAAAACCCTGAGGAAGGTCTTGAACGTCCCCATCTCAGTTACTTTTGTACAGGTCGCAAGCACTGCTGGTGTTGTAGGTAAGAGTCTTACTGTGGATAGTTTCTCAATATTTTCATCTGAGGCCCCAAGTGATGCCAGACCGAGGTTCTGCAACAAATGAACAATAATGTTATCCAGACATGACAGCACAGCATGAGAAACAATCTGACTGCAAGATCCTCTCCCACTAACCTGTGAAAACTGGGCAAAAGTGCGGTCAGCCAGCATTGGGACGTGGCCCAAAAGTTCATGGACACAGTCACTGAAGAAAAAGAAAGAACAAGAAATTCAACCGTGACCAGATTTAATTCAAATTGAAAACCTTAGGCTGATTATCTAATTACAAACGTTTTCACAAACTGGCAATTCAATCCAGTTGCACTGCAAACAATGGTTGCACCGTAAAAAACAATTCTGTGCCTAGTATGAAACAGCACAAGTGAAGACAGATGTTCACTTTATGCAGACTGCCCAAAATGTAAGGAACAGAACAAAACAAAACAAAAAAACATCAATTTGACTCTTGAAAGCCAGGGTTTCCCTTTTAGTTTATCTGTTTATTTAATCGATATTTTCCTCATTTTTTTTTTAAATCAAAGAATATTTCTCTCTTGTTATCAGTAGCCGGTTGTGTCATTTGATGTCATTTGTATTTATTTCTTTTTTCATATGTTCATAGTATTTATTTACTATATGCTGTCATTATGTTTGTGTGCATGCTATGGCAGCATGTTTTAAATCAAAATGACATGTTGCTAAATCTCCATTGAGAAAGATTTATAGAGTGGGGGAAAGCTATATGACAAAGTGCGCACATGTCCCAGTTTGGAACATGGGAGGCTTTTGGAGAGACTGACAGCAAATACATTTGGATGACCATGGAGGGATATGGTGTAGCCTACTTACGGTTCTGGGGAATGCATGGGGGAGGAGGAATGTCGGATGTACTGGGTGCACTGGAACACCCGGTATGCCAAACTGGCCAGGAAATCTCTAGCTGAGAGCAGACCTGCCACCGGACGCAGCTGGAACCCTGTACGCTCTGGGTGTGAATGTCCAGGAGAAGAAAGACAAAGATATGTTGATGAGCAGTGTGTTCACTAAACACTTGTTTCAGTGTGAGTGAGTCCTTATTGTACCTTTGATTGTTTTTTTTTTTTCTTTAAATCCTATCTTACCTTTGAGAAAGCGTGATACATCTTCCAACTGGGGAATGCTGTCTGGACTGTACCCACAATGCCTTTCCAGCAGATAAAAGGCCTCGAGGTATTCACTGCAGGCATGCGTGGCATACAAGTCCCTCAGGGTTGAGTAGACTTCCCGCCTGATTAGGGACATAATTACATATAATGTAGCCTTCTTTATTTAAAACTAACAAACAAATTTTCTGTGTCCTGACTGAGGTGCTGCAACAATGAATGAGGAACAATCCAGCCTATAGCCCTTAAAATTTAATTTGGGACTGTTACCTGCACCACACTGTGGTTTGTCTTGCTGAAAGCTACGAATAAACATTCCTTGCTGTACTTACACAAATCTATAAAGGCACGGCCTAATAATGAGAGATCTTTATTATTGTAACTGGTATTTGATGGAATCCTAAATCTTTAGACATGCTATATCTAGATTTCTTTGATCGCACCCCCATCTGTAACTAAACAAATAATTTGTATTCAAATTCAAATTCTTTGATTTTACACATGGTGGTGTAATTCTTCAGCCTTCACATGCACATCTTATATTACTGTAAATAAGCATGCAGCACCCCTTACCATGTGCCAATCTCCTCCTCTGTGTATTCCACTCTGGGAATCAGCTCCCCACTGAGGATAACAGGAATAGTCAAGTTTCAGTTTTTGTCTGTTTTTCCCCATTTAGATGTAGGTGCAGTATTCAGATAATAGACTGTATCTCACTGTTTGTAACTGAAGGCGATGTCACCAATCATTTTCCTCCTCTGTTTGTAGGCAGGGTCTTTAAAGCCCTGTTCAAGTCAAATATATCAAACACTGATCATATTTTCTGTGTCATGACATATTTGTCCAACAGCATAACCAGCCCAGAACTGTTGTCCATCCTTCTTGGTAGCACTGGTACTTACAGGATGTTCTTGATCAAAGTCTGGATCAAATTTTGTGACCAGATGATGACATTTGTCCAGATCTGCTATTTTCTTTGGGAACCAATGAACTAATAGAGAAAAGGAGGAAATGGCAGTACTATTATTATGATTACTGCTACAAAATTGTTGAATATCTTTCAACAATTATGTATTTGATAAAAAACAGTAAAAAGATGTTACATTTGACTTCATTGGTGGTTTTAACATCCTCTGCGATCCTCTTGAGGGAGCTGATGAGAGTACTGACGTCTGAGAGGTGTAGCTCACAGCGAACAAAGTACTCCAGGCCTTCCAGGCTGTCCTTGGACTTCCGGCACGTCCGTGTTTCCAAATGGTGAATCTTAGCTTCAAATGTCTGAAATACAGTCAACACATTAAAATGTACTGGGTCACATTCAGTGTATGACAAATGTGAGGCACAATTATGGAGCACAGTATTTTATGAAGAGTGGTGTATTCTGGATGCACACTATGAACTTCATTTTCTTTAGCTCTAACACAAAAAGTGCACTGAGATTCCTTTAACATGGCTTCATCATATTACCAAATGACAAGGAAATCATATGGCAAGCTAAACACTTCACAAATGCAAACAATTATTATGACATAAAAAGCAAACTTGGCTAAGCTCACCAATATAGTAAATGTCCCACAACAGAGGTTATAAAACAATATTTGTATTCAGTCTAATAGAATCACGTTGCCTTCCATATTACATTTAATCTTTAGAAGTCAGCATCTCTCACGGATGATCAGGATATGTTGTCCAGTGAATGAGATGCCATTGCTTGGGATACAGCACATCCCTTAGCTAATTCCCATTGTTTACTTGCCTTATGGAAAAGGGCTGCAGATGATCTGGAACAAATCCAGTTATTGTCCAATTACTGACAACTTACAAATATAAATATATAATATTCTGAGGATTAAACAGCAACCAGGGAACCTGGCATCTCAAAATTTGGTCCTGTTTTAATCGCTTATAACGGAACTGTAAAAAAATATTAATAAAGTCATTAGCTAACTTATAAACCCTCTATAAAGAGTTTTTCGAAACAAAATGTTACTATTAAATACACAGCTCTATAATTCGTACTGTCTCGACAAACACATCTTTAGTCTTTTGTAAAAACTCTCTACCCATATCTATTGCGATACCTCGAAAACTTTGAGTGTCCGCGACAGCGCTGGTGTCTTGGAGGTCCTTAAGGTGAAGAAGAGGTTGAGAAGCGCTTTGCCATCATCTTTCTCAAACACTATTTGATCACTGGCCGCTGCAGCAGCGGCGGCTTCCCTCTCCTTGCGCGCGTCCTCGATCAGGCTTTGCCGTCTACCGATGAATCTTGAAGACTGGTCAAAAAAAGAGGAATCAAAGTCCGATGTGCTGCAAATATTTGTATTTAGCCAGAGACAGAGTTTTTTCATTAAGTTGTGGCTATTGCTTTGAATAATAGGAGCGCTTTACATATCCAGATACGCACTCGAACAGCAACGAAGTTAAGGTAAACCTACACCATAGCTAAGACTGGCTAAGACTTTATATGTAACATATATATGTGTATGTGTGTGTGCGTGTGTGTGTCCTATGTGTAAGATCTTGTACGCATCAGGCAGCGCCGCAGAATAATGGTCACCTCGCCAAGCTCTCTGCGCGCAATACAACAGTTTTAGTGGAGTTCTCAATTTAATTTAGTCCTATAATTGACAACACAATTATATATTATCAGGAATAACTCGATATAAACAAACAAACAAACTTTGTTGATGTAAAGTTGATGCTGCTATAGTATTTCTTACCGTGGAGTCAGACCTCTCCAGCTCGGATGCTGCTCTGCGGATGCTCTTTGTGGAGGACGTGGAGCTGCTAGAAAGGGGCATGTTTAGGCTCGCGGGTCTTCTCTGCTGTCTTTGCTATTCAAAGTGTGACTGAGGTGACACTGTGGTTGTGGCGCTCTCTAGACGTCTCAGGCTGTGCTGTGCTGCCCAGAGCTTTTCTTTTCATTCAGACAGGTTCCCTCTTTTTATGGGCTCATTTGTTTGTTGTTCCTGACGTCAAACGCGCTAATCATGGTCTGATCAATCAATGCACAGCATCTATCAGTCATATCCCAAGTTGGAGCATTCATATATATGTGACTTTATTATGTGACCAAACACAGAGACTTTAAGTTTGAAAAAGCAAGCATATTTCAGTGGTGTCCATATAATGTAATGAGTATTGATTTTACATCATAATCAACCACTCGGAATACTTTTAAAGTTATTATTTACAGAGCTCTTTATACTGTTTCTGTGAAATTTTTTTCAAGTTTTTTTGAAAATTCATCTTATTAACAATTGCCAAAGCAAAGTGACGTTATAACCACCAGTTGGATACACTGTAGTCGGCTTTAGACAATAATCAAAGCATTGCCTTTAGGGCTTTACATAAAGGTTAGACCAGAGAAAAGTCAACTGTGGAAAATTAAGTCACTTTATCAGTTCAATCTAATCTCCACTGCTCCTCACAAATTGGATTTGTTGGTGGAAAAAACATACACACAACAAGGAAAGAGAGAACAACACAATGTTTTTCTAATAGGGGCACTGTGTTTGTTTCTTACCTCAGCAACAACCACATCAAGTGAATTTGTACTGCTTTTGGCTGAGGACTTTGCTGGTTAACATGATTGTTAAGCAATGTACAGTGCCCACAGGGGAGCAGAGGTAAAAAGATTACCTCTGGGCCTCTGGTAACATGCTGCCACAACAGCAACCTTGCAAGGTTGCAGAGAAGGCAAAAGGGCCCCGGTGTGACTCTCGCTCAACCTGAAACCACAGGATGAAAATGCTAAAAAGCACTGATGTAGCCCCAGGCACAGACACAGTAGTTTCTTCCTTTAATGGGGGGATGACAGAGTGAGCATGAAGAAAGGAAGATAAAGCAAACAGACAACTAGATAGACCAGCACCTTTCCACTTTTGTTTAAGCCTATTTTCTGCATGGAAACAGAATAAATTGGTACATCTTTAGAACTGAGGCTTTGTTAGACTTTTCTTTTTAAATTCTTTTTTGAGCCTGGCATGCCATAAAGCACAGACAAATACCTGGCATTTGTTCAGAAATAGGAACTATTATCATTTATATGGTTTGTTCCATGTCTTCGAAGTAGTTATTGTTTTTCAGAGCCTCCAGAAGACTTCAAACTCCAGACAATTCTTCTTATTGGTGTAGTTGAGGAGAGACGGAACATTTTGTTTACTTGTTGCAATAAAAATGTATGAGTTATTGTTGTTACATGGCAATAGCCAGGGCACATTTGCCATTCAAGCTAAAACATAACATTAGTTTTTTTATCTTTCCTAAGTGAGTCCAGGAAACAGTGTACTTATAAAAACAATCGTATTCCAATCCACAAGAGATTTTATGATTGTTTAACAGCCCAGGTTTGTTCGAGTTCAACCACATTTTGCATCTGTGGGATGGCAGCATGGCTACAGGCTCAATCAGGATCAAGATAAACAGATAGCCCTCCTTCTCCTCCCTCTAAATGTCTGATTCCCTGCGCCAGCCTAGTTTATCAAAAGTGTGACCTATTACTGATTATTTGAAAGAGAGAATGCTTTCCTGATCTTCCCTGCACTTAACTTTTATCGTGCCAAAGAAAGCCTCGCTCAGATGCACAGAACGTAGTATGTCCAACCCTTAATGATAAAGGCCGGTGTGGTGTAGTGGTTGTACGTAAACACAAGCTGATAAAACCTACAAAATAACACTTGTATAAGAAAGCTTTTCATATATGAGAGGCCTTGTAGAACAAAATTTATTGGAGTATGTATGCTTACTTAAAAGCATAATAATTAATAATATGTTGCCCATGTGTTTCCTATAATTGTATTCAGAACCCAGTTTGTTTCCTTCTCAAACTTCAGTGAGACTGCTGCTGCAGCTCTGTTTTATCATGACTTTCTTTTGCCATCTGTTGAAAATACAGCTGACAATATAGATGTAACCAGAGAGAGAGTGTGTGTGTTTTCTCTTTGCTGTAGTTGTTATACAAATGTTTCAAACTCACATTACACAGTGACTAAACACATGATTTGACATTAGGTAAATCTAGGTTGCTGATAGCGGGCCTTCCTTCACAAAAAATTACAGTTTTATATCTTTATGTTTGAAGCCTGAAATGTGGCAAAAGGTCGCAAAGTTCAAGGGGGCCGAATACTTTCGCAAGGCACTGTACATGCCTGACAGGGGCACAAAAAAATTTAAATAGTAATTACAAAATATATATATAATAATAATCTATCTAATGGTAAAATATACACAAAATAATTATACACACTAATCCAATAAACAGCGTAAAATGTAACTTTGAATCAGTACATCTTGGTGCCTCCTTCTCTGCCTTCCTGTGGCCTATATATATACTGTATGTGTGTGTGTGTGTGTGTGTGTGTGTGTGTGTATGTATACTATATATCATATGACATGTATATATATCATTTTTTCAAAGCAGAACAGAAATTAATTCCCTGTTGATTGCTAATCTTTTGCCTTCTAATGTTTTATATTTGTGCATAGTATTATTTCAAATTATGCCATCAAAGTTCAATTTCTTAAAAGGCACTGAACGTATTAGTGAGCCGAGGCCTTAAATTCATTTGCATTGTCAGAATTTTTTTTAAACTGGTTTCTGAATGGTCATTTTCTGTTTTTCAGAATTGAAAGTGGCCCTATTTTCCATTCAAGTCTCATTCTGATTGCTTTTAACCTTATAACCCTGCAGGTATGCCAAATAATGGTAACAGGTTAACTTCGGTTTTGATGTTGTTGACTAAGCAAGAGTGATATATTTATCAGATTTGGGCTCTTTATTTCCAAAGGTGAGCCGAGGCAAATAGAAAGAAATTAGGAGCCCAAATCTGGTAAATATATCACTTCTCTTTCTGAGCTGTGTTCATGAGAGAAAGAGAGGGATAGATGTGAATTACCTTCATAAATGATTTGATTTTAACATTTAGCTCTAGGTGTGGTGTACAGTAGCCTTTCTGTCTGCATATAGTTAGGCTGACTCGCTGTGACCACCGAGCTGACCCTCATCACTGCCCATACCAGGTACTGAAGCTACCTTTTGATTCAAACATTCATGATCAAATCCCATCTTGCTTTCTGGAAATGCCAGATGTGTCCACAAATTACACCAGGATGATAATTATTACAATTATGTATTGATTCAATGGCTGCATTGCGGCATTGTGACTATCAGCTTTTCCCTGCATAATTGTGGGACTTTGGACGCTCTAATTGCAGCTAACATGACCAGCTGGGCTATTATTCATCATCCTCCACATTTCTTCTCTCTCTTTCTCTCCTTTGTGGGGTCATTAGACTCATCCAGTTGATAAAGAAAAGAGGAAACACTAAATATTCTCTTAACTGCAATAAAGCTGTGTAAACAACCTCAAAATGGACACATCAGCTCGTACTGCTTAGCGCATGACTAACTATACCCTCATAAACTTGTGTCTGTATAAATGTGCCTTATGGCTAATCTCTCACTAGCTGTTGAGATTGAATGCACATTGCTGTCAGATATTCTCCACCAAGATAACTGCACACTACGAAGCCCCTCCGGTGACATTGCAGAGAAATAAAAAAAACAGCCTCAGTAAGTTGTGCCCACAAGTTACTCAGGCATGAGAATGAGCTCCTAATGTATGGTCATGGTGTGACCACGTCTTAGTATCTCATGGCCATGCGTTATTCTACTTCATTCCTACATCCTACATTTCATCCCCACTCCTTAGAAATTCGTGGCCACAACTTACTGAGGTTTTTTTCTTTCTCCCTAATGTCACTAGAGGAGCTCTGTAGCAAACACTTACCTTAACATGTTGGTTTTGATGATATTTGAGGAGGCAGAGACAGTTATGCTAAAGAAAAGATAAGTTTGCAATCTGATTAGAGAACAAACTGTGCTGCACTCTTATATTTGTATCCCAGCTTGCACATATGCATTCATAATAAAACTACTAAATGTATTGTAAGTCAGAAACTGGATTAATGACTTATTTGCACACTCAGAAAACTTTATTAGATTAAAACACAAATGCATTAAAATAGACAAAAAGACTTGGAAAGTTTGTCTACATTCCTTGTTACTCACCAAAGCACTTTATGTGGATCCGTGAGGCCTAACAAGCATGGTGAAGGCACTTCTCTTTTCTCAAAACACATGCAAGTTAATTTATTTACAACATTTGTATTGTTTACATTCATAATAAAATGTCAGAGATCTTCTACTTCCCAGCCTTTACTGATACATTACTGTGTTTCATGGCACGTTATCATCACCTGGAATACAACTGAAAAAAGTGAAAGCATTTGCAGGAACAAGTATCTCACTACCTGAACATGTACAAGTGCACACTCAGAAAAGAACTACTCAATGGTACCTTTAAATACTGTGCTCCAGTAGCCTAGATGGAGAATGTATAGACAGATGACAAAATTACTGCAGATGCCAAAGGCTCACTGAGTATGATATAATATGAATCATATGTTATGGCTTATAGATGTTTATTTTTAAATGTATCGTCCATGTGCTCCTGGTCAGTATTTATAAAACCAAAAAAATGCAGTATTTATGGTTAGACAAAATAACAAGGTGATCACAATATTAACTCAAAATAACTTTGCATCAGAAGCACAATTAGAAATATGAGAATTTCTGTCAAACAAAAACCTTTGTTTTATTCAGCAAAGATTTCTAGAAGCTTAAAGTGCTCAAATGCAGTACAACTTGATTGTTTTAGTTGTCTTTACTGTGTAAGTCTGTCTCTTTCTCTCACTCCATCTCTTTTTAACAGAGCGTCTGAGCATCTGTGACTGGTGATGACTGTGATTGTTTTTGCATGTGTCAAAATACAGCTGCCAAGTGGAATGACTAATCACACAGAGTGCTTCTTTACTGTCTCTGTCTACAAGT